ATTGGTTGGGTTCCATTATGAGCACTAACATCTTTACTAGGAATACTTAGTAAGTTAGTTTAGTACTAGTTTCTAATCTTTACAAGGTCTGATCTGATGGGCCATATCCTGGCAGTGGCAAGAAAACAGCTTTCTGGCCCTATGATGTGTGTGCCTATATACTGTGATTAATCAAAGAGATATATGTTACCTGGCAGTATTAACGTTAATATCATAGAAGTCTAGTGGATTTCAAATAACTTTTCACCATTACCGTATTCGACGTAATAAGCGCCCCGCTCTAATAAGCGCTCACAGCGATATTTGCTGATATATTGGCTAGTGAACAATCCCAATATGAGTCTGAACACTTCTCTCGTCCTCCCACCCTAACCCTACCTACTGACCTACCTACCCACCTACCAACCCACCTACCAACCCACCTACCTACCCACCTACTCTATATACCTATATACCTGTAGATAGAAATGTGGTATTTACTGATCAAGGTACGGGGGGAGACATTGGTGTGAGGAGTTGAGAATAGTGAGAATACTTGTCACTTGGACATTTTTTATTACATATCACTTGGACATGTTGTGTTACCTGTCACTTGGACGTGTTTTATTACTTTTCAATTGACATGTTTTATTACCTGTCCCTTGGACATGTTAAAATTGTCAATTGGACATGTTTTATTACTTTTCACTTGGACATGTTTTATTACCAGTTATTTGGACATGTTTTATCACTTGTCACTTTAACATGTTTTATTACTTGTTATTGTCCCCCGCCATGAAGTGGAAGGGGGATTTAGGAATGGGTGCTGTACGTCTGTCCTTCCGTCCGTCCGTCCGTCACATTTCGTTTCCGGAGCAGATCTTGAAAAACGTACCATATTTCTTCACCAAACTTGGCACATAGATAGGTCTAGTGGTGAACTGGTGCCTTTTGATAGTTTGGGATTTTCGAAAAACATTTTTTTTGAGTTTCCATGGCAACGACTTGGATTTAGACTGAAAATATCGGTAGTCCTCGTTTCCATAGCAGATCTTGAAAACCGTACCATACGTCTTCACCAAACCTCAGCACATAGATAGGTCTAGTGGTGAACTGGTGCCTTTTGATAGTTTGTGTTTTTAAAAGAAATTATTCATCGAGTTTCCATGGCAACGACTTTGACTTAGACTGAAAATGGCGGTAGTCCTCGTGTCCTGAGCAGATCTTGAAAACTTGGCACATAATGTCATCTCACAGCATTGAATACATTTCCATTCTTGTTGGTAAGTTCTGCATTGCTTGTGTGTATGTTCCTCCAAAAGTGTCATGGACACGGTTGTTGCATTCATTGACTAACTTTATGCAACTCATTACAAATACAACAGTGTAACTGATCTTAAACCTGCTTAACTGTATAAACACTTCCTCCTATTCTGTATATATTCTTGTCAACCATACTCTGTACTTCACTTGCTTGATAAAGGTGTTAGAACCTACACCGAAATCATCGATCCTAATTGTAATAAAGAAGTTGTTTGTCCATTTGTCTCATCCTTACTCATTCCAAATACAGTTACATAATCTATCATAAACTGCAGATGGGAAACAACCCCAGTAATAACTTAGTGCTGCAAATTAGACCATTGACAAAAAGGGCCAGTGAACATAGGTCAGAGGAGCTAATGCATTGCACACAACCGGACATGTCATATTGGCGGGGGATATGAGTATTTCATGCTTGTTTGGACATGTTTTATTACTTGTCACTTTAACGTGTTTTATTACTTGTTATTTGGACATGTTTTATTAATTATTTGGACATGTTTTATTAATTAGTTGGACATGTTTTATTACTTGTTATTTGGACATGTTTTATTACTTGTTATTTGGACATGTTTTATTACTTGTCACTTGGACGTGTTTTATTACTAGCTAATGACAACATATATCCAGGGTTTTAACAGGTCGCAATGTTTCATCCTGTGATACGCATACAAATTACGAATTGACACACATAATATCAACTACATGTCCCATTAGATGCAAGAGACTATGGATGTTCGAATGATTGAAGCCAATTAAATTGAAACATGTACGTAAGATTTATGATATATTTCTGGTCGCATAAGCAATATAATCAATCTTCAGACAGTCCATATCACGTTTCCTTCACTTCCTCTGTTTTGATTCAAACGAGGAAACCTCCCAGAGATTTATCTGGACCTGCTCAGAGGGCGATATTTGGCCCCAAGTCTGCAGCAATAAAGAATTCCAAAAATGAGGTTAAAAGTTTTAAAAATTTATGTTAATAAGTGTTACAAATAGCTATTTTTAAGGCTTTGTAGAAATACCCTGTATTACAATGAAAACAGGAAAAAATAAAAAGAAGAGATTTTAATGCTTAGTTATATGTATTATTGCATTCAATGCAATTTAAGAAACTGTTAAAATAGGTCTACCTCTGATTTTAAGAAAATAAGAAGTTTAAAAAATCCAAGTTTTGAACAAAATAACATTTTTTTTCCAATTTGCCTGCCAGGGGCACTTAGTTTAAAATCCTGGGTAAATCTCTGCCCCCATCTCAAATTATGATAACAAGCATGAGTCATTACACCTATTTGTATTTTATTTGTTTTTGGTACAGTGCCAGGGGCACCCACAATCTACATGATCTAGTGACCCATAAAGATCCGGGGTAGAATAGACCTTCAGCAACCCATGCTTGCCATAAAAGGTGACCATGCTTGTCGTAAGAGGCGACTTACAGGATTGGGTGGTCAGACTCGCTGATTTGGTTGATGCATGTCATCATATCCCAATTGCGTGGATCGATGCTCATGACATCAGTCACTGGTTTGTCTGGTCAAGACTTGATTATTTACAGACTGCTGTCATATAGCTGAATATTGGTGAGTGCGGCATTAAAAAACAAATAAAACAAACAGAGTCTAGTAACGAGATTCCCCAGAACTCGCATATATATAGATGAAGCTAAATCCCTGCTATCCCCATGGGGCGACTTATCCACTGGTCCTTAGGTCCATGGCCAGCAGAAATAGCCGAGGGCCTGCTATTGTTGAAAATGTATTACCAGTCAACACCCTTTGCTAACACATGGGAATGTAACATATTGTTAATTAATATTCATATTCAATAATTATATGGGGCGATAGGGTAGCCTAGTGGTTAAAGCGTTCGCTCGTCACACGGATGGCCCGGGTTCGATTCCCAGCATGGATACAATGTGTGAAGCCCATTTCGGTTGTTCCCCGCTGTGATATTGCTGGAATATTCCTAAACGCAGCGTAAAATCAGTGTAAAACCACACTCACTCAATCAATAATTACACAAACAGCACCAGAAAATATTAGCTTATTTATGTTAATTACCTCTGTGTTCTGACTCCATATCTTGTGTAATGAAACAGATTCTCAAGTTCCAATGATGAAATGCCTTGGCTTGTATCAAGTGTATTGTGTATGGTGAATGTTTACATGCACCAGATGTGTGACATCGATGTCTGCCACGAGATGGTGGATTATGGATTCTTTCTTAGGAATGCATCAATATCCTTGCGTACTGTGTTTTTCGAGCCCCTGAGAAGTATTTCTCATTATCTGTCTAAGAACAATCGCAATACACTAAAATTAAGTCTTACCTTTGAGAAGATTTATTTCTGTTTACAATTGGATAGTCAATTGACCACATCTTGTCAATTTAATTCAATAATTGTGATAATGCCTCACCAAGTGAGACGAGTCTATCGGGCACCATTTTGTTACTGTCACATGATTTCGAGCCCCGCCAAAACAGTTAATAATAGATGCACATAACATTACAGACAGGAAGTTTACAAACAGCAGCCAATACATCATCGGTGCTTACGATTGTTCAGATGCAAAATTATTATCAGAGCAAGTTTGATAAAATGTCCATTTGTCCAAATGTAAGTTTTGAGGTATGTTTTCATTACTTATTGAATACCTTGTGTATGTTAATTCGTAACATAACTTCAGCGACAAGAACACTTTGATGTCTTCATTGAGCTTTGAAACGTCTGCCTTGTTTATGTCATTAAACACATTGTTACGTATTGTTTAGGGGCTCGAAACGTGTGGGGACAAACAGCTGAACTGGACCACATCTTGTTCTTTTATGGAGAGGGGCGGTCGGGTAGCCTAGTGGTTAAAGGGTTCGCTCGTCACGCTGAAGACCCGGGTTCGATTCCCGACATGGGTACAATGTGTGAAGCCCATTTCTGGTGTGCCCCGCCGTGATGTTGCTAAAGTGTATGGCTGTTTGAATCATACATCATCATACATACTAATTCATTTGTGGCATACCCTCTGCCATGTTTATCCATGTCATAGTGGTAAATATTTCTATTCTGATACCAAACATGGTCAATATTCAAACTATGTGTTCACTGACAGTTACTCTGGCCTCCCAGGGACCCCATTTCCACACCTCAAAAGTATAACTCTGTGTGTGTGTTTGTTGTTTTACGCTGCACTCGGCAATATTCCAGCTGGTAGTCTGTAAATAACCAGACAATCCAGTGATTGACATCATGAGCATCCATCCACGCAATTGGGATGGATGACATGCATTAACAAAGTCAGCGAGCCTGACAACCCGATCCTGTTAGTCGCCTCTTACGACAAGCATAGTTGCCTTTTACGGGTTGCTGGAGACCTATTCTACCCCTGTTCTTCACAGGTCCAAAAGTATTACTGAAAGTATCACAACACCGTGATGTTGGCGGAATATTGCTAAAAACAGCATAAAACACTTATTCACAACCGCCTCCTTGGTCTAGTGGTGGAGCGTACGCCCGGAGAACGGATTGTAAGTGGTTTGATCCCCGGCCGTGTCATACCAAAGGACGTTAAAACATGATACTTGTTGTTACCCAGTCTGGCACTCACTCATCAACTAAAATACATGTATGTGTAAGGGATGTTAAACCAACCTCACTTACTGTTTGTGTACATGCCTTGTATGTTTTGTTCTACTTTTAGGATCATTTGGGATCTCATCAAGGAGAAACTCATTCTTCCATTTGTTGACCTTGAATTACATACGTTCGACCTTGGAATTGAGCATCGAGATAAAACTGATGACCAAGGTAACTTCAGCGTCAGAGAATGGATGTTTTTGAATGATAATAGGGCGTGTGTGGTAGCTGGGACGTGTGTGTGTGATAGCTGGGACATGTGTGTGTATGATAGCTGGGACGTGTGTGTGTCATAACTGGGACGTGTGTTTATGATAGCTGGGACAAGGGTGTGTATGATAGCTGGGACATGTGTGTAAATGTGATAGCTGGGACATGTGTGTGATAGCTGGGACATGTGTGTGATAGCTGGGACGTGTGTGTGTGATAGCTGGGACATGTGTGTGTGTGATAGCTGGGACATGGGTGTATGTGATAGCTGGGACATGTGTGTGTGAAAGCTGGGACGTGTGTGTGATAGCTGGGACATGTGTGTGTGATAGCTGGGACGTATGTGTATGATAGCTGGGACATGTGTGTGATAGCTGGGACGTGTGTGTGTGATAGCTGGGACATGTGTGTGATAGCTGGGACGTGTGTGCGTGATAGCTGGGACGTGTGTTAGTGATAGCTGGGACGTGTGTTAGTGTGATAGCTGGGACATATGTGTGTGTGTGCGATAGCTGTGTGTGTGTGTGTGTGTGATAGCTGGGACGTGTGTGTGATACCTGGGACATGTGTGTGTTTCATAGCTGGGACATGTGTGTATGTGTGATAGCTGGGATATGTGTGTGTGTGTGTGTGTGTGTGTGTGTGTGTGTGTGTGTGTGTGTGTGTGTGTGTGTGTGTGTGTGTGTGTGTGTGTGTGTGTGTGTGTGTGTGTGTGTGTGTGTGTGTGTGTGTGTGTGTGTGTGTGTGTGTGTGTGATAGCTGGGACCTGTGTGTGTGATAGCTTGGACGTGTGTATGTCATAGCTGGGACGTGTGTGCCTGTGGTAGTTGGGACATGTGTGTGAAGGCTGACCAAAAATAGTAAGATATCTTAACATGATTATGTAACTTTAATTTCATTAACTGAACCTTCTTTCTTTAATCAGAAATATATTCAAGATAGACCTGTCCCAAACATTTTGATGAATCAATTTGGTGTCTGTAAGTCAATTAAAAAAAGTAAAGACAGATGATGCTAATGGAGACTGTTTGTTGATGCTGACAACAGTGTGGAACCTAGTCAGCCAGTACTATGATTGTTGTTTCAGTGACTGTTGATTGTGCCAATGCCATCAAGAAGTACAATGTGGGCATTAAGTGTGCGACCATCACCCCTGATGAGAAGAGAGTGGAAGGTGAGGCAGCACAACACAACCTCACAGCCTACTCTTATGTTGTAGCAGGCTAATGATGGAAACACATTGTTTGTTGTGGTTGCATTCTGAGACTATTACTGAATAATTGCCCATGGCAATGATCTTTACTTTGACAGATAGAAGTAGGGTGTAAATGTCCGGAGATGACCTTGTTTGTTTGATGTTTAACGCCGCACTCAGCAATATTCCAGCTATATGATGGCATTATATAAATAATCAAGACTGGCCAAGACAATCCAGTGATTGACATGAGCATTGATCTATGCAATTGGGATCGATGATAAGCATCAACCAAGTCAGCGAGCCTGACCGCCCGATTCCGTGTCGCCTCTTACGACAAGCATAGTCGCCTTTTACGGCAAGCATGGTTTGCTGAAGACCTATTCTACCCCAGATCTTCACGGGTGAGACGACCTTGTATTCCTGTGTGTATATGTATAAGACATGAGTTAATCAGGACTCCAGATAACATTTGGGGCCATTGAGTATTCACTTGCATGTTATTGACGATTAATATTGATAGTTTCCTTTGGATATTCAATATATTTAACTTCAATAGGTCCGGTCTGTGTCGGTATTTTTAGACGAATGAGTGAACCTTTTTAAAACATGATTCTGCTGTTGTGTGTGACTTCATATTGGCCACACTTATCCACACTTAGCCCTGAACTGCATCATTCAGCGCAGCAGCAGAGTTCATGATACCTGGGGGCACGGGTGGCCCAGTCATCTAAGGCGCCTTGATTGGCTGTGCAGAGTTGCGTCCCTTGGGCAAGCCAGAAACCTATGATTGTGGGTTTGAATCCCGGTTCGCCCTGATTATGTTTCTAGGTTTGTCAGCACCATACCCGTGCTCGTGGGTTTCACCGAAGTGGTAAACGTCCTAGACCTGCTTTCGGGCTTTCCTCCCACATTAAGCTGACACGCCGTGATATAACTGGAATACTGTTAAAAGCGGCATTAAACCCAACTCACTCACTCATGATACCTGCGTTCAATCAGTAAATGAAGGTCTCTTAAGAAAAATAGGTATGCAAGCTGAAAAAGAATATCTGGCACTGAACGACATTGGCATCACATGGAGTTACGTAGTGTAACGTGACATGGTGTATTGACATACAGTCCTCACCATGTTAGAAATTGATGTTAAGTAACTGTTGTTGGTTGTTGCCAGAATTCAAACTGAAGAAGATGTGGAGGTCACCCAACGGGACGATCAGAAACATTCTTGGTGGCACTGTGTTCAGAGAGGCGATCATCTGTAAGAATATTCCACGTCTTGTCCCTGGGTGGACAAAGAGCATTGTCATAGGACGTCATGCCTATGGAGATCAGGTTGGTGGAGTAGTGTAGACATTGCTGTCAGTTTGGGTGATATTCCAGGTGCAGATGTATAGAAGGAGTGTCAGCATCTCGGAATGCCCCGGGCACGAAAGTGGCAGCGTTCTGTTAACAAGAAAAAATATATCTGCCACTACCCTATGAGCATTATCTGTAACAAAAAGGCAGTAGGGTAGCTGAGTGGTTAAAGTGTGGGTTTGTCAAGCTGAAAACTCAGGTTCGATTCCCCACATGGGTACAGTGTATGAAGCCAGATTATTGGTGTCTTTACCATATTGCTGGAATATTATTAATGAAGTAAAATCATATTCACTCACTCAGCAATGAAATGTTCCCTAATCGTTTGATTTTGTTTATGTTTTATGGGCGAATTAGTCTACATGGTCTTAAGCACTGCAGTTAGATGTGCAGAGTTATATCCCTTTGCCTTGCCAGGATCTGTTGGTTGTAGGTTCAGATCCCTGAATTGCCATCTGTAAGGTAATATTAAATCATCATTGCTTTTAGAAAATGTTTTTTTCAGATGTAGGCTCTGTTAATATGTTTTATGAAAAGATTCTGACAGTGAACTTGTCTGTTCCAGTACAAGGCAACTGACTTTGTTGTCCCTGGACCAGGGAAACTGGAGATGAAGTTCACCCCAGACAATGGTGGTGACGCTATGGAGTACACCGTGTTTGAGTTCAAGGGCACAGGGGGTGTTGCAATGGGCATGTACAACACAGATGCAGTAAGTTATTCATTGTCACAGTGGCACGGTGGGGTAACCTTGTGGTTAAAGGTTTCACTCAAAGACGCCAATTCCCCACATGGGACACCGATTCCCCACATAGGTCCAGTGAATGAAGGTCATTCTGGCGTCCTCAGCCTTGATATGCTGCATAGACCCCAACTCACTCACTCACTCACTCACTCACTCACTCACTCACTCACTCACTCACTCACTCACTCACTCACTCACTCACTCACTCACTCACTCACACACACACACACTGGTGGTTCTTCAGAATAGTTGAAATATTGTTGCAAACACTGTTCACTCAGTCACCTCTTGGGAACGTTGGAGGTATGGTCACTTTGTAGTCTCAGCCTCCATAGTTTACCACCGCCTCCGTGGTCTTGTGGTAGAGCGTCCGCCCGGAGAGCGGAAGGTCCGGGGTTCGATCCCCGGCCGCATCATACCAAAAGACGTTAAAAGATGGTACTTGTTGTTACCCTGTCTGGCGCTCGGCATTAAGGGGCTAAAACAAGGACTGGTCGGCTCGGAGTCAGTATACTGTGTCTGAGTGGGGTATTCATGTTAAACTGCGGCATGGTATCTCAGTGAGCTAGCACTATAAATCGGCATCAGTCCGGACTAGTACAAGCAGCCACACAAACACACACACGTACATGCACGTCGCTATATAAGTGCAATAATCTTGGACGCGACGTTAAACCCCATTTCACCTCACCTCACCTCCATAGTTTACCTTCTTCCAAACACAAGCCTTTTTATCAGTCTTGTTTCCACCCTTGCCACATCAAGCACTCTTTCCTGTGCTAAATGTGATTGGACTATCGCACATATAGATAGTCCAATCTGAGAACGTTTCACAAAATCAACATCCACGACTGTTACACCTTCGTATGAAAGAGATTTACCGCTGACTGTCTTTGTTGACACGAATATGTCGTTTTGATCTTTTAAACCCCCCAACGATTGCCTATGATTTTGTGTCGGGGATGATATCGCAAATGTTTGTCAGCACTGTACAGTGCTTGTGGGTTTCATCACAGTGATAAATGTCAAGACATGCATCACTTCAGGCTTTCTTCCAATATCCAGCAGGCATGCCTTGAAATAACAGTTCAAACTCACTCTCTCCGCTAACAAACACTTGACGAAAATATTGTAAACCAAGTAATATTTAAATAAAAAGGTGAAAGAGTCAAAACTCGGAGGATCTGCTCACATTGGTGGTCCCTCACCCAGTTATGGCACAGTAAACTCCACTGCGATCATATAAATATTTGTTGCTTTATTATATTTGTGAGAAGTATTGTTCTTTTGTCTTCAGAGTATCCGAGACTTTGCCAAGAGTTCATTGACTTTTGCCCTTCAGAAGGGCTGGCCCCTATATCTCAGGTAAGAACAGCTTCCTTAGACAAGACAAGGTGTTTGGCATTGCTCATAATATCAATCATTGGTTAGGCTTACAAAAAATAAAGAATTGGTTCTCAGGCAATGACTTTTGAAAATATAGCGCGGGTGGGCAGTTGTTGGTTTTTTTTGCTTGTCAAACTGGTATGTTACCAAAGAAACAGTTGTGTACCATCAACCTGGGAAAGGGCCTCCCTACATAAACAAGCATACAAGCTCCTACTGCCGCCATGACCATAACACGACATGTGCAGTGAAGCAGTAAAGGGAAGTAACTGTGTACTATACTGCTCAAAAGAAGTTAAGGATCACCCGATTCTTTCATATTGGTAAAGTTAATCTGTCATGGCATGAGAGGTTAACTATTGTAATATGAAAGAATCAGGTGATCCTTAACTTCTTTTGAGTAGTATATATTGGATCGCACTGTTTTTAAGTATTTATAATTTTTTTGAAAATAGAAATATAAACCAAACGTGCAGCGAACTTTATGATGAGGCAGGCTGTGCCTGAGAACCAAGACTATTAGTTTTTTTAGCCTTATCTGGTCCAACTTCAATTCTTTTACAGGCTGTCATTATATAGCTGGAATATTGCTGAGTGCGGCGTTAAACATCAAACAAACAATAAATGAAAGCATTAGATTTTTTTCTTATCATGGCTTTTGTTTTGCAGCACCAAGAACACAATCTTGAAAAAGTATGATGGCCGATTCAAGGACATATTCCAGGAAATTTATGACAAGTAAGAAACATGCACAGTTGTTGCTTACAATCGCTTTTTGTTTACAGGTCAACAGAACTTGCATGTCTCAACAAAGATGCTTTCGAAATTTGAGTGTACAGTAAACTACGGTTATAACAAACTTAAAGGGATCACTAAATGTAGTTCATTATAACGGGAGTTCGTTATAAGCACTTATACAGCATAATTCCAGCAAATGGACGGGGCCGCCAAAAACAGTTAGTTACAGTGGTCCCTCGCTACAACGCTACCAATGGGGTCCAAATAATTGGTATATCAGTCAGTTCTTTATAAGCATGTTCGTTATAAACGTAGTTTACTGTATTTTCAGGCGTACACCCATGTACAGAGGTAGCCATGTTGTCTTACTCATTTCATAAAGAAGTCATATTAATCTGTCAAGGCTGTCGCTAACTTTAGCCCTAGTTTGGTAATAATTATTTTGGTATAGATCATCCTATGCTAAGATAATATGACTAAACTTGATGCCAAATGTTCGGGCTAGTCATTTTTGGCACAGGCAGTAAGGTGAGAAGTCGTCAGTCAACATCGCCACTTTTACTGTCAGGAATCTTTCTATGTCAGCAATTCAACTATGTCCCCAGACCGGCCTGGATCGAGTGACGGCTTTGTGTAGGAAGATCAGTTTGTCATCTTCTTGTCATGAGTTGTCTTTTTAAGTTGAGCAATGCGAGACTGTAACCTTCACGCTATGAGGAAATACAGTTTACCTGTCCGGAGTGAATTATTGGCACGCGGTCAGCATGAGGGACAGATATTTTGTAATTCCAAGTTGTAGGAAGGTTATTCTATATATTACCCATTGTAGTGCCAGGACAAGGCCGAATTTATAACCTGGGTACCTGACCCCCTATTTCCTCATCCTATCTGGTACCCGCTCAAGAATTGGGTACAAGATGTCCGACTGGGAATTGTTTTACTTGAGCCCTGGCAAAACTATTTTGATACATGTTTAAAACGATCTGATTATGCATATGCTGATGTTGACTGAAGCTTTATTTTTACTTAGACATATGAAAGTCAGAAGCAATGGGTGCATATACATTAGCCAATTGAAGTGTAACTATTGAGTTTTATTGTTATTGTCATTAAACAATATTTCCAGTGACTAACCACAGGTCTGGGTAGTCCTGAGGGTACCTGTGTCCTACCCAGGACCTGCCCACCCTGATTACTGTAGTTACCTGTCCCAGCCCTAAACCATAGCCCTTTATTCTGAGAAATTATAGAAAAATGGAGTGTACAGTACCTCAAGTGAAGACATCAGCTAAGTCTGTTGTTGGAGAAACTGCACATTAAAATCGTTTGTGACGTCTTCAATTGTGATGAGGTGAGGTGAAATGTGCAATAACGTTGCATTGTGACATCTTCAATCATGTGTGACAATGCATTCAGGAATGTTCATATGGTGTCACAGTGCATAAGAATGGCAATGAAAAAATTTGAACATTTGGAACGAACTAGCCAATCAGTGTGGATAAAAAATTATAATGCTCATTGAGAATTACTGAAAATAACACCAGTGAATGTCGGGTTAGAATAGGTCTTCAGCAACCCATGCTACTATGCTTGTCGTAAGAGGCGACCAACGGGATCGGGTGTTCAGGCTCATGATGTCAGTCACTGGATTTTCTGGTCCAGACGCAATTATTTACGGATCGTTGTCATATATTGCTGTAATATTGCTGAGTGCAGCATTAAACAACAAACAAAAAACCAAAACTGACAATAGTTTCTGTTTTTACATTATTTAATGTTATATTCTGCACAGGGATTACAAGTCCCAGTATGAGGCCAAGGGGATCTGGTACGAGCACCGGCTGATAGACGATATGGTGGCCTACGCCATGAAGTCCGAAGGAGGCTTTGTGTGGGCCTGTAAGAATTATGATGGGGATGTCCAGTCCGATTCTGTAGCTCAAGGTAAGACTCTTTCATTGTCATAGGGGTGGTTGGGTAGCCTGGTGGTTAAAGCGTTCGCTCTTCATGCCGAACACTCACTCACTCACTCACTCACTCACTCACTCACTCACTCACTCACTCACTCACTCACTCACTCACTCACTCACTCACTCACTCGAAATATAGCATGTATGGTTGAAGAAGTAGGGCTGGATGACTTTAGTTTAGAGATTACCATAGTCAATGTGCCAAGTGACAGGAAGCAGAAATAACAAGTATGTAAGATGTTATGGTTGACTTGACATTACAGCCCTAAAATCATTTGTTTGGCTTCCAGGGTTTGGCTCCCTGGGGATGATGACCAGTGTGCTGATCTGCCCCGACGGCAAGACGGTGGAGGCAGAGGCTGCTCACGGCACCGTCACACGGCACTACCGCTTCCACCAGCAGGGCAAGGAGACATCCACGAACTCTATCGGTGCGTCCCAGCATTTTTAAGAAGTATGGATAGCATGGCCCATTCATTTGAGGCGCTGCAATTACCTTAGAGTTGCATCCCAGGATTTTTGGATCTCGGGTTTGAATTCCAATGTGCTAATTTCAACTCACTTATTCTGCTTGCAGCCTCCATCTTTGCCTGGACTCGAGGTCTATCACACCGGGCCAAGTTAGACGGCAACAAGGCCCTTGAGAAGTTTGCCACCAACCTGGAGGAGGTCTGCATCGAGACCATCGAGGCCGGGCAGATGACCAAGGACCTGGCCATCTGCATTAAGGGCATGAGCGGGTGAGTCCTTGGTCTCACTCACATACTTCTCAGTGACCCGTGAAGATCTGGGGTAGAATAGGTCTTCAGCAACCCATGCTTGACCTAAAAGGCGACTATGCTTGTCCTAAGAGGCGACAAACGGGATCGGGTGGTCAGGCTCACTGACTTGTTTGATGCATGTCATCGTCTCCCAACTGCATGGATCGATGCTCATGATGTCAATCAGCGAATTGTCTGGTCCAGACTTGATTATTTCCAGACTGCAATGATATAGATGGAATATTTCTGAGTAGGGCGTTAAACAACAAACAAACATACTTCTCCGGTACCTGTTACACAATGTGATCTTAGCGCTAAGGCGATCGTAACTCCCAATCGTAACTCCCATACTTCAACATAGACGTATGATCACCTTAGTGCTAAGATCGCTTCATAGAACAGCACCCTGGGCAGGTGGTGTAGCCTAGTGGTTAAAGTGTTTGCTTGTCCTGCTTAAGACCAGGGTTTGATTCTCAACCTGGATGTGTTCCTAAAATGAGCTCTCACTCTCCCACTCCCTCACTCCTTCAGATTACAGTCAGATTACAATGAATACTCTGATGATTACAGGGAAGTGTAGACACTGTTGTTGTACAAGACAACAAAAATGGGATCAGCTACTCATCATTATACAAGACCGTTTCCGTGGTCTAGTGGTAGAGCATCCACCCGAAGAGTGGAAGGTCCAGGGTTCTATCCCCGGCCGTGACATACCAAAAGACATCCAAAGATGGTACTTGTGTTCCCTGCCTGGCGCTCGGCATTAAGAGGCTAAAACAAGGACTGATCAGCTCGGAGTCACTGTGTCTGAGTGGGGTATTCATGTCAAACTGCAGCTTGGTATCTCAGTGGGCTTGCGACCCGTGAAGATCCGGGATAGAATAGGTCTTCAGCAACCCATGCTTGCCGTAAAAGGCGACTATGCTTGTCGTAAGAGGCGACACGGAATCGGGCGGTCAGGCTCGCTGACTTGGTTGATGCTTATCATCGATCCCAATTGCATAGATCAATGCTCATAATGTCCATCACTGAATTGTCTGGTCCAGATGGATTATTTACAGAACGCCGTCATAAAGATGGAATATTGCTGAGTGTGGCTTTAAACAAACAAACAGTGGGCTTGCACTATGAAATCGGGCTGGTACAGGCAGCCACACACACTAACTGAAAGTTTGATTGTTTTTAATGACCTGTTTCAAGGAGTGACCTGTCATTGTAACCCGACAACATGCATTGTCTATCACACACCTTGACCACTGGTTTGTCTGATCCAGATTTCATGTTTAAAATGGGAAAAGGGAGAAAAGACACATTAGATACTAATTTAACAGTCATAAGATAGCCTCTTTAGTTGTGACCTGTTTTTGCGTTCCTGATATAAGTGAGTGAGTGAGTTGTATTGTACACCCCTTTTAGCAGTATTCCAGCATTATTATAGCAGGGGACACCAGAAATGGGTTTAACACATTGTACCTATGTAAGGAACCCGGTCTTTGGTGTAATGAGTGAACTCTTTAACTACTAGGCTACCCCACAGCCCCTCCTGGTATAAAAATGCCACTGTGGTGTTCCCATGAAAAGGTTAAATGGGTCAAAATAGTTCCCAGTCTGTGACTTTAGCCACTAGTCCGAAGCCCCAGTCTATTAAGATTCTGTTCAGGGCCCCGTTCCACAAAGCATCTTATTGCTAAGACGATCGTAACTCCCATACTTTAACATTGACTTACAGCAATCATAGAGCTGCTATCGCTTTGTGGAACGGAGCCCAGATCAGTAAATAAATGTCATACGATATTACTAAAATCTACTGAAATTGATGCTAAGAGCCAAGTTTAGCACCTCATGAATACTTGTAGGAGCAGACTAAAGTTGGTTGTGCCTCGACACGTGGATCGGTGATCATGCTATCAACTTCGGTTTTGACAAGTCTGTCTCTTGAAAAGTTATTAACTGTGCCATACACTCGCTTAGCAAAGAACACTCTTTATCTTTCAGGGTGAAACGTGAGGACTACTTGAATACTTTTGAATTCATTGACAAGATTGCCGAGAACCTGACGAAGAAGATGAGCAGCTGACTAAAGCCCACCATAGAGACGACCAGGAGTTCACTGTAACGCCAACAACGAGGCCCTGAATGTCTACATCCAATTACTAGAAAAAAGGGAGAAAAAAATATATACATGTATATCATTGTGGCCATTTGTATCTGTGATTTGAGGGGTATGAGGGAAGTAGGCAAATTGTTGTATGGGAGTAGTCTTTCTTTTCTTGAGTTCATTTCACCATAGGATTAGTGTCCCTTTAGTTTAAGCTTATCTCACTGTGGGAGTTGTCTCCCTTTGAATAGAGTTGGCTCCATATTGACACTTGAGTTAAAAACAGCATGGGATTTCAGTAGCAGGTTTTCGTGTGTATCAGAACATTCCATATTTACATTGGGGCTATTAGAGAAATATAAAGGATGTTAGGTTCTCTCTACAAATGATGATACTTTGAATGCGTCTTTCTCAATGCAATTGCTCACACGTTGAAAATGCAACTTTAGGAAATCACCCAAAAAGTAACATACCATATTTGACATATTAAGAGAACAGGGTGTATTAAAAGTAACTAATGTTGGGAGCTAGAGGCCGTCCTCGATTATCCATTGAATTATATTATTCAATAGTGGTGTACAAAATGTCAGGCTTGTCGTAGGAGGCGACTAACGGGATCCGGTGGTCAGGCTCGCTGACTTGGTTGATGCATGTCTTCATATTCCAATTGCGTGGATCAATGCTCATGATGTCAATCACTGGATTGTCTGGTTCAGACTCGATTATTTACAGACTGCCGTCATATATCTGGAATATTGCTGACAAACAAACAAACAAAATGACAGTTATTTCATGATTAAACAAAGAGTACTCGTCTGACCTTGTTACCTACTGCCTCAAATACAACCGAGTAGCGAAAGGACACCTTGTCTTAATACTCAGGACAAGATTTGTTTGGTCAACTGTGTTCTTAACATATTGAGTGCTTGTATTGAACGTAAATGTACACCAAACTCACGTTACACTGATATAATCCACTGGATGATTAAATACTGGCTGTGTTACTTCTGAATATTTCAAAACAATGATTGAAAAAGTAAGGAAATTATTTTTCAAAAGGTGGGGATTGTTTATTAGAGCGGGGCACTTAATAAGTCAAATATGGTATCATAGAAATCTTCGTAGGTGTTTTTAACACTTATATAACATCTTCATTCCTTCAAACCACAATTTGTGCCTAGATATCTTTTCTTTCTTTTCTCCACAAACCACATCAGTGACCATGATTCCTTAAAGTGAAGCACAACTGGATATTGTACGTGAAAGCTTAGCATTTGTCACCCAAAGTATTTACCGAGTTTAAGCACATTTGAAATAAAAGCAGTTATTTCAATTTGATAATAATTTCATTTCTTCAATCTATTGTGATTGTGAACTAACATCAGATAACCAGTATGGACTTACCCATGTAATCAGCTGTTTCAGTATTATATGAATTGTTATAATAATTACTCTATGTATTCAAGTGTTATTGACAAACTGTGATGAAGAGAATCATTCTATGATGCTAAAGTGGTCTACATTTTGTTCCATCACAATTAAATTCTTTTTTACTCTTCCTAGTCATTTTGTCTACCCTTTCAAAATGAATCTTATACCTACATTGCTATTTGTGTATTCTCTAAACTATTTTCTTTATACTTTATTTGTTTTCCAAATTACTTTTGAATATGTATTTGCATGTGAAGTATGTGATGATATATTTGTGAGAAATCTGCTCCTGGTTTGTATACTATACCCATCTTTTGATGGGAATGTTGAGATAGTTCACACCATTTACTTGTATAGGTCATCAGTTTTTCATGATCCAATGTTGAATCCTACTTATTTGAAATGTGGGATTGTCAAGAGTGGTATTTCTACTGTAAACCTGGGGCTACTGTAAACCTGCCGCTATTGTAAACCTGGGGCTACTGTAAACCTGGGGCTACTGTGAGCCTGCCGCTATTGTAAACCTGGGGCTACTGTAAACCTGGGGAAACTCTGAACCCGGGGCTACTGTAAACCTGGGGCTACTGTGAGCCTGCCGCTATTGTAAACCTGGGGCTACTGTAAACCTGGGGAAACTCTGAACCCGGGGCTACTGTAAACCTGGGGCTACTGTGAGCCTGTCGCTATTGTAAACCTGGGGCTACTGTAAACCTGGGGAAACTCTGAACCCGGGGCTACTGTGAGCCTGGGGCTACTGTCAACCCGGGGCTACTGTGAGCCTGGGGCTACTGTCAACCCGGGGATACTGTAAACCTGGGGAAACTGTAAACCCGGGGAAACTGTAAACCCGGGGAAACTGTAAACCCGGGGCTACTGTGAACCTGGGGATACTGTAAACCTGCCGCTATTGTAAACCTGGGGATACTGTAAACCTGGGGCTACTGTGAGCCTGGGGATACTGTAGCAAGGGTTCAAGGCTGGCATCACTTCAGGCTTCTTCATGACATGCTGTAAGGTAACTGAAATACTGTTGAAAGGAACTGACCGAAGCACACAAGTAATGATTTCTATCTGTGTCTGTGATCAGAATTCCACTGACATGTACAGGTGGTTCATCCTGATTGTCTGTGTCCCACATGCCAAATGCTGACTCCAGAGCATCCATATATTGCACTAGTTGCAGGACCCTGGCGAAAATGTGATATTTGTCTTAAAACATATGAAAAGAAGAATTGGAATGAAACTGTTATGTCTTGCTTTATGTGAAGGAACAGTGCCATCTCCCTAGGAAACAATCCACTCAATCCACGCTTATTTAAATAATATGACAGTATTTCCGACTTTGTATTTTCAATGTATTGTTTTTTGTGTTTACAAATGTCTAAGCAGTACTTATCCATAATAAGATTAACAACATATAATATAGAAACACATCACCATGTTTCCTCAATGGCTCTGTAACTATTTATCAAGGAATTTGAGGCTCGGCTGTTATTCCAAACCTTGCCCCTTGATCTTTATAGAGACGTGCTGGACCATATTAACGCTGAGTGAAACATTGCATCTATGTAACCACAAACTTATAGTTATTGAGAGTATATATTTGTTTTTTCTAATCTACAGTTAGTTTTATGTAAAATGCCCAGAACTTTCATTAACTCACTAGTCTTTAACATGACGCCCATTGTACAACAGATTCCTTCTTGTATACAGTATCATTAAAATCACTTTGATAATGACAACTTTGTTTGTGATCATTTGTTTGAGTTATACACATGTGAGGTCACTTCCATTGGATGTCAGAAAACTGGGTGGTCCGAATGCAAATAATTATTATTATCCCCCGCCCAACAAAGTTGGCGGGGGGATATAAAACGGGCTCCGTCCGTCCGTCCGTCCGTTCGTCCATCATGTTTTCGGAGCATAACTAAGGAACCGTTCAATATTTTTTCATGAAACGTTGCAGGTCTGTCAGGTACATGCTGAACTGGTGCCTTTTGCTACTTAGAAATTTTTATTTTTTATGTTTCCATGGCAACAAGATGGACTTAGGTTCCAAACTCTTCTTTTTTTTTACAATTTCCATGACAAGTTCCACCTCGGTTAAAAAAGGTAAGGGGTTTTGTTTAGATATAATTATGTCATAAATTCTGCAACAGGGGGGGGGGGGGGGGCATATACCCACGTTAGTGGCAAACTCTTGTTATATTACATTTGTATACTGCAGGTATCTGCTCATTCTCAACTCCATGCTGCCTGAGGGAGCTAGAAGGGTTTTACATCCATCTCACATATCCATTCCCTGCTGGGTGAACAGAACGAAATCACTTGCCCAGTGACACCACAAGTTTTGACACTTGTGTTTCAGGCAGGTGTATTGTCTGTCCCAAGGATGAATAACAAGACGGTCACTAGCGGGATACGATATCATCACCTGGCCCTTGCAAGCCTGGTACTTTTGACCACTTGCCCACTCCGCCCCCCCCCCCATCCTGAGCATACGAAAGTGTTTAATATTTTTGTGTTCTGTGGTGTCTCATTGCTACACATCCTTCATACATACTTTGACCACCCAGATTACCTATAAAATGGTCACTTTATATTTTAACATGTACTGGTTTGAAGGGTCTTGGATTGACAATTCCGAGGTTGTCCACAAGTGATGGGAGACTTGACAACAAAATCAAGTTCCTGGTGTACGGGTTGTAGCATCAACAGACTGCACCTTATCTCCAGAATCTGGGCTATGACCTTTACAAGTAAGTTTCACAGGTTCCTCTGCAGTTCGGATGGATGCCTCTGGATGCTCAGGCATCTGTGGTGACGATTATGACTACTCTGCTGTCTGTGTCATCTACGCTGGTCGCATCATCAGGTCCACCTCATGATCAACTTTGTGACGTCATCCTCACCCTACCCAGCCCAAGGCAGGCGGAAGTGAAGGATTTAAGTCTTCCAACAAGTAACTCCTCTCCAGCCCTGGACAATTGATTTTGGCCACTGCAAGCTGAACTCCGGTAGGTGGTGAACTTGCCTCATAAGGTTGGTGGTTTACAGGAACTACTGACTGATTCTTGGAGATGAACTCGGGAAGTGTTTGCAAAATTGGCATAATCTGAGCTTCAGCATGAGTTAGGGAGGAGAAATCTTTGGCATGTAACTCCGATGCTAGGGGACAAGCCATTTCTATAGACACTCGTGAAAGGTGCTTCTAGCAATGAGGACAGCGCAATGGATAGGTTGGGAAGATTCGTAGAGTCTTTATGTCTTGTCAAAATGACTTCACAAGGCAATTCAGTACTGTGTGGGTACCTGTTGAGAGCCTTTTTGTTGGAGTACAGATGCCTTCAATAGTGCCATCCCGAAATTCCTTCTTGTCTTGAATGTAATAGGAAATCGTCGACCATCTGAATGGTTATCTCCATGTCTCTCAATCCTCCTGCTTCTCCCCAGGTTTAGACCGCCTCTGTGGTCTGGTGGTAGAATGTCCGCCCAGAGAGCGGAAGTTCCAGGGGAGTTCGATCCCTGGCTGCGTCATATAAAAACATATGGTTTCTTGTTGTTACCCTGTCTGGCGCTCAGCATTAAGGGGCTAAAACTAGGACTGGTCGGCTCGGAGTCAGTACACTATGTTAAACTGTGTCATGGTATCTGAGTGGGCTAGCACTATAATTCAGCATCAGTACAAGCAGCCTCACACATGTACATGCACGTCGCTATATAAGTGTAATAATCTGTGATGCGATGCTAAATCTGGTTTCACCTCACCTCCCCAGGTTAGTTGGTAGGTCTGATCTGGGTTGATATGCTCTGGGAACTTCAGAGATTTCTCCATGGGAATAGTCTTGGGTACCATGCTGTGTCTGGCCACGTTGAAGCTATAGAGGTAGAAGCGTAGGTGAAGAGGCCCTTCCAACTCATCAACAGTGAGTCTACCTGTAGAGCTGGTGTCTGGTACCGTGCTAATGTGTACTGGGAGCTTGTTGTCGAGACATGTTGCAAAGAGGGTCATGGGGGGTCACAGGTCGATGTTATCCACTTGTTGGTGAATTATGTTGGAATTATCCTTTTTCCCCTGGGAAAGACAATCTGCCAGGATGTTTCAATTCCCCAGAATATAGCGAGCCTCCAATCTGCAGCTGATTGAGTCTCCAAACCAAACAAACAAGTAACCTCATTCAGTTAATTCTTTGATCCCATCCCGCCTTGCCTCTGGAAGTTTGTTTGTTTAACGCCGCACTCAGCAATATTCCAGCTATATGACAGCAGTCAAACCAGACAATCATGAGCATCGATCTAAGCAATTTGGATACAAAGAAATGCATCAAAGAAGTCAGCGAGTCTGACCACCCCATCCCATTAGTCGCATCTTACAGCAACATTAATGATGGTATTCATGATATTTGTGTAATTATCTCGACAAATCTCAAAACAAAATCCTCCCTCACTGTGAGAGTGAGTTGAACAGTCCGTATTCCAGTTATGTCAGTGTGTGGGAGGAAAGCCCCAAGTGATGCTGGTCTTAGACAATTACCACTTTGAAACCCACGTGCATGGATATGATGCTGACAAACCAAGAACCAGGATTCGAACCCACAATCATAGGTTTGGGTCATGCCAAACAGACAACACTGCACCCTGGACTGCAGCGACTTATACGTCTGGGCCACCCATGCCTCCGTTATATGATAAAGACAAGAAGGAAATAGCAATGTGTTGTGTCAGGATAAGTATACTCAATCATGTGACAAAAATCATTAAATTCATGTTATGTTTTGAGGGGACAACCATTCTGGGATGCACAGACACTACTTGCTCCTACTGTTCGCATACTGTCTTCCATGTTATTCTGAGGGGATTATTTTAAATTCTTTTCAGAAACATTATCTTTAAGATAACACAAAATTTGAGTTTGCAGACAAACAAAATGGTGTTTCAATTTAGAAGTCTCAACACATGATTAGAAAGTTTGCCTGAGACCTCTATTGGACTGCTTTTAGATTGTCATGGTAACAGGCATTGAGTGAGTGAGTTGTTTGACGCTGCTTTTAACAGTATTCCAGTTACATCACGACGTGTCAGCTTAATGTGGGAGGAAAGCCCTAAGTGATGCAGGTCTCAGGCGTATGGTGCTGACAAACCTAGAAATGTAATCGGGGCGAACCATAGGTTTCCGGCGTGCCCAAAGGGATGCAACTCTGCACAGCGAATTCCGTTGCCTTAGGGGGCATGGGTGGCCCAGTCGTCTAAGAGGCATCGAATTGGATGATTACAACAGTAGCCAAGACGACAACTACTACAAGAATATCATGACTATTGTTTATTTCATATACACTTATTCCAAGAAATACTGTACACTGGGGCCAGTCTCTAAACAAGGCAAAAGCAGAGTCACAAGCAAAAAAAAAAACAATCTAAGAAAAATAACGCCATACAGGCACTGCATCATACTACATCAGTCTATATACACATCAGATAACAGTACAATATTTGGTCATGGGACTTGACAGCTGTTCACAAGTTCATTGAGAGTCAGTGTGGTTTATGCGCCGCTTTCAACAGTATTTCAGTTATATCACAACATGTCAACTTAACGTGGGATGGACATGATGCAGGTCTTAGAACCCAGTGGTGCTGACAAACCGATGATCATGCAAATTTGGGATTAGAACCCATGATAATCACATCCTGGTACAACCAAGGACGACATGTCCTCCCTAGAGTGAGTGAGTGAATTATCAGTCCCCTCCAACGACCACACCAAAACCCCAGGCAACAAAGCGTCGTGTCATCTCAAACTGGGCTACAACCTTCTCAAATCTTCGTTAAAAAGACCAAGTTGTAGCCTTAGCTCAGTTCTGGGGCCACTAACTGAGACTCCGAGTGTAGTGCTGTGTTAACAACAGACACCAAGGGACCTGGGCCAGACACAGTACTGCAGTAATCTATCAAATCCTTAAGTACTTTCACTGTAGCTTACACAAAACGCTACACATCATAGCTTCAATGTAAATGCTTTGCATTATAGCACACATGTAATCACTACAAATCGGGCCTTACACATAAATGTGACTCATCGTAACTTGCACGTAAATGCTACACATCGTAGCTGATACGTAAATGCTATGCTCAGGTAATTTCGATTTGTGATTCCTTCAAACAATTACCTAGTGGCCCTCATCGTATCTCCTGCTCAATCAACAGGCTTTGACCTTTTTCATGTAACACTAACAGCATGTTTCTAAATAAAATACATACATCTAACTACTCAGCGTACATAACTTAAAACCTCCATTACACAACTGTATCATTACGGAACTATTTCCTGACTATTCAATGACATTAAACACCAGAGCTCTAGTTCTATAGCATCTTCCAACTGACCACAGAATATTCTCTCCAACGAACTTCCGATTGTCTGTTTATGTTTAATCACATAGGGACAGTAATACCAGCAACATCACAAACAAGTAATGTACCCTTACAAAGTAGTCAAAATGAGGGTAAGCTTGAGACCTACAGAGACTCCTACAAGCCGTGACAGTAACCATGGTAACAACAGCTGCAAATTGTCAATAGAAAAATAAGAAATATCATCATCATTCATTTATATATACTATGTTCACGCCACAACAAACTGATTCCTTGTTCTGAATGGGAGTGAGTGTTTTCCTCGAGTAAACAATACTAAATTAGAGACTAACCAGTTTTCTTGTTTTACGAGAATCGACTAATTATTTTTGGCCAAATTCTCAAAGAAATACACTGTCATCTAAAGACAACTATTGACTTAACAAACTTTATAAACAATTAATTAATTTGTTGTGGCCTTAATTAACAACAGATGATCACATGACCTATGTATCATACATACATAGCTGGTATATCTACAATAACAAGTTCGGAAATAGACAGTCAGTAACCACTGACAACCAGTATCTGTAACCATTGACAACCAGTGGCAGCCATCTCAACATTCATACTTTCAAAAGTTTGTCTAACACTGGGGTCTACAAGGAACAAGCCGGACACGTTCAGTAACTATGATAGCCTGCATGGAATTAACAGGTATCACCCTAGAAATATAGATTTTATCCATAAACCAGATTTGTGCTCAAATGGCTAAAATTTTGTCCTCAAGTTACCTCTGACCTTACCATATTTATTTTGAGTGAGTGAGTGAGTGAGCTGGATTTAACGCCGCTTTTAACATTATTCCAGTTATATCACGGCGTGTCAGCTTGATGTGGGAGGAAAGCCCGAAGTGATGCAGGTCTCAGACGTTTACCACTTCAGTGAAACCCACGAGCACAGGTATGGTGCTGACAAACCTAGAAACATGATCGGGGTGAACCGGGATTCGAACCCACAATTATAGGTTTCTGGCGTGTCCAGGGGACGCAGCTCTGCATAGCGAATCGCGGCGCCTTAGACGACAGGGCCACCCGTGACCCCTTCTTTATTTTGAAGACAAAACACGATGTGTGCAGATTTACATGACATGTGGTTATTGTCCATATCTTTAAGTTAAAATCAGGAACAAAATCTAAGGCTATTTTCATGTGACTTTGTGAATGTCATTCAGTTGAAACCATTTAATTCATTATTGTTTAAACATTCTGAAACAAAAGGCATTGATAATCACAATACAAAGATGTATCAGCTCAACTGTCTAAGATACTCAGTTGTATCAGAGAACAGGTTAATAAGGTGAGCTACAATATGATCAGGTGAGCTTCTAACTAGGGAATAGATGCGAGAAGCATCTGAATACCATCAACAGACCTAAACATTCAACAAGGTAACATTCTACCATCCACACGTTATCAGAAATAGAAGTTATTAACCTGTTGCCAACACATCCCTCCAGTGAGCACCATATGAGGAAATAACATGGAGGACTTAGTTTGTTCTTTGGGTTTCAACCAACACACTGTGGTCGTAATTACTACACAAGAGTGAGCTGGTTTTAATACCGCTCTATATAAGTTACTGTTCCAGCTTGATGTGGAAGGAAAGTGATGTAGGTCTTACCACTTCAAACCCCACGAACACAGGTATTGTTCTGACAAAGCTAGAAACAATCAGGTCACACAAGGATTCAAACCCAGCGTCACAGGATTCTGCAAGGCCTAAGGGACGTAACTCTGCACAGCAAATTCTGTTGCCTCAGACAGCTGGGCCACCCATGCTCTTGTACTGAATGAAAATCTTTTGTAACTTCATACACTATAATCAAAACCTTACTCACACAGACTTTCGTAAATGGAGGTAAAAGCTGGTTGCCAAAAATCACCCCTACAATTACTTGCCATTTGAACAAGCTAACAAGAGGCAGGTAAATCTTGCCATGGCGCCTGAAGATTGTCATTTCAATATTTTTTACAAACATAATGAATTCTTAAAAAGACCACGAATATTTTGAAGGCATTGTGATACTTTGTGCACAGAATCATATCTCAAGGTCGTGTATCAATACAAAATGATACAAGTGACATTAAAAATTGATGAAAATTAACTGCAAAATACCATTTAGTGCAAGTATGTACAAGAGGTCTCGAGACACATTTTCAATAAGCAAATGAAATCTACTTAACATGTTTAGGTTGGTCATGTATTCGTTCCCTCTGAGGATTGCATACGCCTCTGAGTAAGTGACAAGTTACCATGTTGTAGCGTGACCTAGCAATTAAACCTTACTGTCGTTACAGCACTAGTATGAGTGAGGGAGTGAGTGAGTATGGTTTTAAGACGCTTTTAGCAATATTCCAGCAAAATCACGGCGGGGGACACCAGAAATGGGCTTCACACATTGTACCCATGTCAGGAATGGAACCCGGGTCTTTGCCGTGCAAGCGAGCGCTTTAACCACTAGGCTACCCGACTGCCCTGCACTTATTTAAGCAGCAGATATTTACGTCCCATGATCACTAGCGTAAGCTTGTTTGATTGTTTGTTTGTTGTTTAATGCCGCCCTCCATCTATATAAAAGATCGAATCTTGACCAGACAATATAGTGATTGACATTATGAGCATCAATCCACTGATTGAGATACGATGACATGTGTCAACCAAGTCAGCGAGCCTGACTACCCGATCCCGTTAGTCTCCTCGTACGACAAGCATAGTCACTTTTACAGCAAGCATGGGTTGCTGAAGTACTAGCGTGAGTTAATAATTAAGATCACAGCACTAAATTGCCTATTTTGGTTGACTAGTTATTACTGCACAAACAAATGAAGTCTATTCTGAAGCTTAGAAATGTACACATTTTCCTTCTGATATTTCTCCACCTGTTCTCACACAACCTTGGTCCACCTGATGTAAGGGAGTTCTACATTGTTCATATCTCAGCATTAACAAGGATACCAGAAATGGCTTCATACATTGTACGAATGTGGGGAATCAAACCTGAGAGCTAACATTGTCACTACTTCATGGATTTGTATACACTACGTTTGTCCGTCACGTGTCAGTACATGTTGCTGCTGTGCAGTGTAGGTAAGATGAGTGAGTGAGTATGGTTTTACGCCGCTTTTAGCAATATTCCAGCAATATCACGGTGGGGGGGACACCAGAAATGGGCTTCACACATTGTACCCACGTCGGGTCTCAAGCCAGAGAAGTGAGCATCACAAATGGACGCACATGGTTTTGAACACACTAGTAGTTGTATCTGGTTGGTTGGTTGATTTGTTGTTTAACGCCACACTCAGCAATATTCCAGCTTTATGACAGCAGTCTGCAAATATTTGAGTCTTGACCAAACAATCCAGTGATTGATATCATGAGCATCGATCCACGCAATTGGGATCGATGACATGCATCAACCGAGTCAGCGAGCCTGACCACCAGATCTCTTTAGTCGCCTCTTACGACTAGCATAGTCGCCTTTTACAGCAAGCATGGGTTGCTGAAGACCTATTCTACCCCGGATATCTTCATGGGTCTTGTTCCAAAGTACGAGTACACAGCGTACACAGTGAGTGAGTTGGGTTTAACGCGGCTTTTAACAGTATTCCAGTTATATCACGGCGTGTCAGCTTAAGGTCTAAGACGTTTACCACTTCGGTGAAACCCACGAGTACGGGTATGGTGCTGACCTAGAAACATAATCGGGGCGAACCGGGATTCGAACCCACAATCATAGGTTTCTGGCGTGCCAAGGGACGCAACTGTGCACAGTGAATTGCAGCGCCTTAGACGACTGGGCCACCCGTGCCCCGTTTCAAACAGACACACCTCACAACTACACCATGCAATGCCTCATGTATTCCCGGGTGATTGGGTAATGTAGTGTATACAAACCAGGAAGTATTACAATAGGGTCAACAGAGAGCAGAGGAATCCACCTACTACCCATCTATACCTCGAACAACTTGAAACGACATCTCTTCAATAACACTGATGAGTGACAATGTAAAAAATACAAATATTTAAGTCTTAAACAAATAAAAGAATTGGTTCCCAGGCAAAATTTCTGAAAATATAGTACGGGCGGGTGGTGTCTTTTTTTCTTTCTTTTTTTTGGTGGGGGGTCTGTTGTGTACAATCAACCTGGGAAAGAGAATCACTAAATTAATGTATTCCTTGATGAGTAAAATACTTGAATACAGTATTTGACTACCATTGGATTTGGAATATTTAAGGTTATTTTTCATTTTTTTTAAATGGAAATAAAAAAAAACCTGCGGCAAACTTTATGATGATGCGGGCGGTGCCTGAGAACCAAGTCTATCATTTTTTTAGCCTAAAATATTCTGTTTTCATTTAATAATTGGTTTCTGTTTTCATACATTTCTTTAAACAGGAGCACAAGGGGAATTACTTTCCAATAAATCCTGCCCTTCTTAGGGCTGATAGCTGTAGTTGTGTTTTTAAGTATCTTTCTTAACATAGAAATCCTATTTATTGTTTTTTCTCAAAAGACTTTGGTATGACTGCTGGCAATGGTCACACCTAAAAAAAGTTTCAGCTTAAAAGAATAGAAAATACACTGTATTCCACATTCTGTCTGTCAAAAAGTGGAAAACTGTAAAAACATACAAACTGAAGACAATTGGCATGCATAATAAGTAGTCCAGCACCATTGTGTCGAAGATGAAGGGACCTACGTAAATACTTTGTGTTATCCAAGGTTCGTCACAACCAAACGATGAATAAACAAGTGAGTGAGTGAGTGAGTGAGCCTGGTTTAACGCCGCTTTTAACAGTATTCCAGTCATATCACGGCGTGTCAGCTTAATGTGGGAGGAAAGCCCGAAGTGATGCAGGTCTAAGAGGTTTACCACTTCGGTAAAACCCACGAGTACGGGTATGGTGCTGACAAACCTAGGTACATAACCGGGGCGAACCGGGATTCGAACCAATAATCATAGGTTTCTGGCGTGCCTAAGGGACGCAACTCTGCACAGCGAATCGCGCCGCCTTAGACGACTGGGCCACCCGTGCCCCCTGAATAAACAAGGAATACTCAGGGACCGTGCTTTTACTTGGAGACAACCATAAGTTCGACAGATCAAAGTTCGACACAACGGTGTTTGACTGTATATCATAATATTAAATCACAAGAACATGTGAATGTGCACCGAAATGATGCAGTTTATATACATAATCTAGCTAATAAATATGATACTTAACTAACAGTCAAGGTGTGACACAGTACACAATATCACATCTCTAAACTAGGAACCCAGACAGAAAGGAAAACATTTTAGAAATAAAAAAACGATTAGATATAAAAACAGTAAAAATGTCAACTCAATTTCATGACTCTAGGACTTATTGGATAAGATTCATTCAAAATCTAGATTTTATAGCAAGCAAACATTGTGGATTTCTCTGTGAAGTGATGCTGATATGAAGTAAACCTATATTAAGAGATGTATAGGTAACACACCTGGGGGTGTCCAAGGAATTTATGTCGTCTTATTTGTGAGTGCGGTCAAAAGTAGCGCCAAGGCACTGGAGCTCACCTGGTGTGTGTTCAATCAGAACGATTCATTAACATGGACAGATAGCATACTTGAGTTGGATTGCCTTCACTGCAACAAGGGATGTCCCGGTTTGAATCTAGTTCCTCGTCTTACTGAAACTTTCCGTATCCGATAACCCATTTTTATATCAAAACATTCGAAACATCCACAGACGGTTAGGCTCTGCTATGCTTGAAGGGGGGCATCATTAATAATGGAATAATTTTTTAATAGTGAATACATAAGATTGTGACAAAAAAATTATAATTGATAGTTTCATAATCGTAACTGCAAACAATTATTAATATTAAACTGGGATAACGAAAACGGGTTTCCACATTTTGAAACCCGTTCCGAAATTCTAATTAACCCATAACTGGTTAATCATGACGAGTAATAACAATGAAATCATTTAACATTATACATAGAAACCACAGGATAAGTGTGACCACAGTATTTCAGTTATATCACAGTACATCAGCTTAATGTTGGAGGCCAACCAGAAGTGATGCAGGTCATAGATGCTTGGTGCTGAAATACAAGGATCATAATCTGATCACAACTGGAATTGAAACCCTTGATCTGAGGATCCTGGCATGGCTAAGGGACACAACTCTGCACAGTGAATTGCGATGCCACAGATGACTGGGCTACCCGTTCCCCCGAAACAAATGTCAACACTGCCAAAAGAAGGCATGACCTTGCAAACATCAAGCAAACATATAAAAATCTGACACCCACTCTTGCCCCAATCATGCTCACAAAATTCACAGCCATATTAAGCATGTTAAGGTTAGAAATATACATATACCCCAGCCTGCAACACCCCTAGCCCCAACAAAACCCTCACTACAGATGCTAACCCCAAATTGATGCAAATATATGTGGTAATTGTCATCTGAAATAAATAGCATTGTACGCTATATTATCGCGGTAGTTAGTTTATAATGGATCGTAATGGCGAATGCTTACTAACCTATTAAATATATCATAGGCAAAATGTTTCTTGTTCTTTTTTTCAACCTTTATGACATCAATTAAGATCGATCGATGCTGATTTTCTTTACCGTGTTTGGTAAACAAAGTACCGGTTCCTCAAGGGTGGGCAATTCTATATTATCGCGGAATCACTATTTTGTGTGTGATATGTGTGGATTATGTGGTTTACATCACTTCCTGTTTTGGATTATGCATAATCAGTATTCATACGACCTAGATTGGGTCAAAGGACATCATCCAAACAAGTGGATTCTTTTCGGACCAATTTCGAATGGAGGTGGGTATAATTCCACTTCAAAAACATTAGTAGCTGTGACATTACGCAACGAGTCCTGTATTCGATCATGCGATGAAATATTGTGCTTAGTTTTGCGTAAGTAAATAGTCGACAGAGAATGAAGAAATGAGATTTACCAATACCGCGATAATATAGAGTCATACTATACTTGTTTACAAAATATTTGTGAAGACTTTTGGCATGTCTGACCAAAGGTTTTGATTATAACATTATATGCGTTATATTTTATAACTCCAACTCCTCAAAATATGTAAACCATTCGATCACAAGCCAAATGTTTTTCATTCATAACTGACCACCTAAAACTTGAATATGTATGTGACAATGACAGGAGCGAGGTCAATGACCAGCCTAAATTGCAGGTAATGTTTTTTTTGACAAAATTTCACTTGATTGTGCTTGTAGAATTTTGTAATGATTCTGCCAACATCATAATGGTCAGCTCCTCTGTGGGATTGGTCCAGCAGCTGGAGGAGTAGAGTTATAGTCACAAAGATGAAAGTTTCAGACAACCAAGCCATGACATAAGCTCACTGGACTTGAGATCAGGTGAGCTAACAGTGGGTACTGGTAACCAAAATGGCTGCATCGAGTTGATAGTCACCTGGCCTGTTCAGTGGTTATTCACACTGTGGTGATATTTCCTATTATTCCCTACTTCAGATGGGGTAAAACCTCCATATTAACCTCCTTGTTAACTTTCAGCAATCAGTTTAGATTCCTGCTTACCTCATAGCACTTAATCACGAAGAATAATGGAATAGAAATATTCAAAACATGATCCTGTTCGAAAATGTCTTCTGTCAAAAATAAATAAACAATTTTCGAAATAAGTCTGGTTTCTTTTGTAACAGTGGTACTAATTCAGTATTTGATATATATATTAAAAATAGTTTGAAAATTGTCAGCTGCTACTTATAGACAATAATAGTTATTGGACGATATCTCGACATGACGTTCTTAAGCCTGAAACACGTTAAACTGTAAGCCACAAACATTCATTAACATTGATGATGAAAACTGAACATAAACCTGCCAACCGCTCATCAAGACCAACAAAGACAACAAGATTAAAAGTTCACTTTTACAAAAACAAAATATTGAATAGTTACCCGCCAACATGGGTTTTGCTAAAACAATAGGTTTCCTTTTCTTAACTCCACTAAAACCATAACAATAACATTTTCTTGATTTGATTAAAAATTCAACTTAAAAATTCATCAAACTCAAAATGATGAGCACTGCTGTTATTACTATTCATAGTCCAACAATGAAATTTAATTCAGCATGTTGAGTTGAAATGTTTTACTGCTAATAAAACATGTAAATGTTACAGAATTGAGAGCTCAAAGAAAAGTATCTTAATCCGTACCTAACTATCCACAATGAAGAACCAAGCACTCAGAATTGCTCAGCTGAGAAACAGCAAGATTTGGAATTACAATCATTTTCCTATTTCATTTCTGTCTAAAAGTTAGTTCAACAACAATCAGTTCAGTAACAATCAGCAATTAAATAGATAAACTTTCTACATTAATCAACCAAGTATTATCTTTTCATAGCACTTTCATTAGTTATAGTCAATATTAAATAAATATTCACAATGTCATTCTCCTTATAACAGTAGTCACCAGTAATAAAACATCCAAAATCAAATCTTGTTTCTCGTAACTCATTACCCGAACATTCCTTCACATCCTTTTTAAATGTATTCTCAACAATTGGTTTTCTTGTTATTCGGATTATTTTATCAATTGCATTTTTATTTCAGCTTTTCTTTCAATTAAAAAAAATATCAAAAATAAAAAGGAAGTCAAATGAACCATGGTATCTTAGCATAGTGACCAAGACAATAAATAGACAATGAATTGATCTGATCAAACAAAAAGTTTATGGGTGACATCATGAAGATTTCAAATTCAAATTCAAACAAAAACAAATTTTAAACTTCAATGTCATGGTGAAATGTCAGGTTATTTTCAAGATGATTTGAGGTATGACCTTTACTTGACCCCATCACGCATGAATATGATTAACTTGAATATGGTCGTGTTGCACCTGTCCATCTCCAAAGGTGGTTATTGTGGGGACAAAGGCTACTGATCTGAAAAGCTACATAGTCCTATTATAATAATAACTTTTGGTTATTAACAAATTAAAAGTTACTTTTGATTCTGAGTTTGCTTAAATGCCGTTTTAAGCAGTATTTCAGTGGTGGGAGGAAATCACCAAAGGGAGGCAACTCCGCACAGCTAATTCCGGCATTGTAGAAGACTGGAACCCAGTGCCTCCAAACAAGTGATAAGAAACAAGAAATGTAACCTAAGGTCTCGTCAGAGGCTGTTTTCTCAAGATTATTGTCACATGGCCATATCCCATGATGCCTTGTGTTTCTTGTATTCTTATGTCAAGATTACCATAATGAACATCAAAATTTACACATAACCATTCCAAATGGTACATTGTTTTCGGGTCGCCTACTAGCCGCCTACAAACTACTCAGTACCCAGGACTATACACATTCACATAGGAGAACATCGAGAAATGGTCACAAGTAATCATAGCACACAACTGGACAGTCTGTATCGGATCACTCGTTCATCACATTATATTCAACAATGTATTCCGGGTACGCCTGGTTACTGTCAAAAATCACAAAGATCTTGGGGTCCCATATATTGTCCACACATGAATCGTAGCACTTCCCGTATGGTTCTGCTGAGTAGAAAGGTGGAGGTCGTCTATGACCTGTATTCCCGCCTGTGTATTTCCCAACAAGCACCTTGGCGAGGAACATTTTTCTCGTCTGTGACGATGTAATGTCTGTCATTGGTACAACCCTGACCTTGGCATCTTTCGTGGATTTCTGGGAGTTGTTCTGTCTCGGTTGGGAGGGCTCAGAACCCTGCCGCAGGAAGTTGGCTTGTGGGGGGAACGTTGTATTGTTATTGCTAGTGTTGAACGCAGAACATCGGCCGACGTTGGTCAGAGGAAACCCCCGAGCGATGCCTGCCGAGGAAGATGGAAGGTTGGACTCCACCTGGAGGTTCTGGTTCGAGTTTATTACAGGATTAGAACTGTTGGTTGGCATTGGCCCTGAGTAGATGTTTGATATTACTGTGAGATTGCTCCGAGATGAGGACTGAGGCGGGGGAGGGGGCGGCGCGGTGCTTGGAGGGGTGAGCTGTCCGTGGATGCCGGAGATTAGTGACGACCCCAGAGGCATGTGGGCGGGAGGGGGGAGGAGGTGGTGAGGTAACAACTGGTTCACTTGCATCTGGTTGAATGGTCCGATGAGAACGCTCCCTGGGGGCTGGCGGAACACCGACGACGAGCTAGACGTTCGACTGGAGGATGTAAGTGCACTTAAGGTGCGAATGGCCATCATCCGGGATCGGATGCCACTGACCTTCTCCGTGTACTGGTGAGAGTAGGAAGCAGCCTTCGCAAAGTAGGAACCTGTAACAGCAGACAAACATCACACGTTAACATTGTACCCATCATACCATAATTAATTAATCATCAGGCTTTCATCCCCTCCCGTCTCCATTTGCCTCACCACCAAACACCTACCTCACCACCAAACACCTGCCTCACCACCAAACACGCAACCTGACAACCAAACACCCCATCTCACCTCCAAACACCCCGTCTCACCTCCAAACACCCCGTCTCACCTCCAAACACCCCACCTGACAACCAAACACCTGCCTCACCTCCAAACACCCCACCTTACAACCAAACACCCCATCTCACCACCAAACACCCCACCTGACAACCAAACACCCCGTCTCACCTCCAAACACCCCACCTGACAACCAAACACCCCGTCTCACCTCCAAACACCCCACCTGACAACCAAACACCCCGTCTCACCTCCAAACACCCCACCTGACAACCAAACACCCCGTCTCACCTCCAAACACCCCACCTGACAACCAAACACCTGCCTCACCTCCAAACACCACACTTGACAACCAAACACCCCGTCTCACCTCCAAACACCCCACCTGACAACCAAACACCCCGTCTCACCTCCAAACACACCACTTGACAACCAAACACCTGCCTCACCTCCAAACACCCCACCTGACAACCAAACACCTCACCTGACAACCAAACACCCAGTCTCACCTCCAAACACCCCACCTGACAACCAAACACCTGCCTCACCTCCAAACACCCCACCTGACTACAAAACACCCCACCTCAATTCAAAACACCCCCTCATCCCCAAACAACCGCCTCACCACCAAACACCCTACGTCCCTAACCAACCTCTCTGCATCCCTACCAAACAACCTTCATCCCTACCAAACATCCTGCGTCCCTACCAAACATCCCGCATCCCTACCAAACACCCTGCATCCCTACCAAATACTCTGCGTCACTAGAAAACACATCACATCGCCAGCAAACATCCCACGTTACTGCGAAACACTCCAACTCACATCAGTGAATTATCCCCAAGAACCTAGAAAATAGTTGTATGTGTTGTGTTCATACATTACTCGATGCAATACACCTCATACATTGTCCTACCAAACTGTCATGTGAAGCACATCAATTGACATGTAAGGTACACAGATCCCTTGAATAGTTTGTTTAAAAATAATACGAAAAATATAATTCCAACAATTTAATTCAGCTCTATCAGACCGAAGTCACAAACGGACCCTGAACCATTTGTTAGCTCATATTCTGGCAGGGTTTCACTTAGCCTATGAAAACTTGAAGTCATCATGACTACTTATTAAGACTGAGCTTGTCATGCACCAAAGGTGTTGAGAACGTCAAGATGACTGCTTTATCAAGAAACTTGAATTTATACCTATTTTCTAAATATAATTGATTTTCAGGATACAAATATGACAATTAAAACTATTATTCATTGACTTGAATTGTAACTCCCCTGAAACACCCTGTTGTCCACCCGTATTTAAAGAACAATTACTTATTTCCAGCTTCTCCCTCTTTGGGGAAACCAACAAGGTGTGATGACAGACCATGAACTGTACTGGGTAAACCCACAACAATCCTGACCTGACCAAGGGACACAACTCTGCATATAGAGATATAGCGCCACAGTCCCAAACTCATTCAGATCAATCTTTCACTCGGACATGACACCTCTCCGCGGGAGGACACTGGAGGTTGTGTCAGGTGAACTTTTTAATCGGAAAATCAGTGTCAAGGATTTAAAATTCTTGGTATGAAGGAGCAAAACATTCAAGCAACATGAACAAGCATATCTGATTTCTGTCTCTTGAAAACGAATATAATCATGGAGTTCTGAATGCCAACAAGTAAAGCTGTGCTATTATATTAAAGGGGATATTTTATACATCTAGTGTAAATGGAGGTGTTATCATATCTTCACACAATATTATTGAATCGCAGTGAAAGATTAGATTTGAATGTGACTGCCTTCAGTAGATGGAATAGAGATACTGCATGAATTCACAATAAACCCTGTAACGCCAAACCCCAGCCACCAAGCATAAGTGTCATAACTAGACAACCGTTTTTGAAGAAAATAAGAACACTTTGATTTGAAGACAAACACAAACAGAAACAATTTGACCAGTGACCTAAGGTTCCAAGTTTTAACATGGAATTCTGCCAGTGCTGGCCGAGGTGCTAGCCGAGGTCCTGATCCGAGTCTAGCGGAGTGCACCTTTGTGGTCAACCCTGCCACTTGGTCATTAAGAATGTCTACTCGTGTTGAAATCAACGTACCTTGTCCATACACACATCCATGTTTCCCGCAGACCCGCCAATCAAAGCCCTTCTTGCAGATGGCCTCAATGACGGAACTGTTCGTGCCATGGAACAGTTGGCGTTCATCCACCTGGTGGCCGTCATTCTCGTGAATCATCTCCGTGCGCTTCCTGCAACAAAAAGACTGACTTGTCAACACCTTATAATAACTGCAGCTTGCAAATAAACTAGTCTGGGCCAGAGTGAGTGAGTGAGTGAGTGAGTGAGTGAGTGAGTGAGTGAGTGAGATTGAATGAGATTGAATGAGAGTGAATGAGAGTGAATGAGTGAGTGAGTTTGGTTCAATGACGCTTTGAACAGTATTCCGGTTATATCACGATGGCAGCGACAAAGTGAGTTGTTTAATGCTGGAATATCATGACAGGGGAGGCCAGAAATCAGCCTTGTTCAGCACACATTATGTACATATACGCATACCCCGAGCAATTAGAATGGAGCATCGTCACACACGACTCGACCTACATACAGCTGGACCCGTGAAGATCCGGAGTAGAATAGGTCTTCTGCAACCCATGCTTGCCGTAAAAGGTGACTATGCTTGTCGTAAAAGGCGACTAACAGGATCGGGTGGTCAGGCTCGCTGACTTGGTTGATGCAAGTCATCGAATCCCAATTACGTGGATCGATGCTCATGATATTAATCACTGGATTGTCTGGTCCTTACTTGATTATTTAGACCACCGTAATATAGCTGGAATATTGCTGAGTGGGGCGTTAAATAACAAACAAACAAACAAAACAAACTTACAGTTGATAGTATTTCCAGAGAATGGGGTTCTGGACGCGGGATATTTTGACGATGTCTGCAGAAGGGAAAGCCAGTGTGCTGTAGAAATTGACAGCCACTTCTACATACTCATCAGACTCTGGTTCTAGTGCCATAATCACAAGGTTCTGAAACAAATGAAACAGCATGTTTTTCAATGTACAACTCAATGAAAATCCAGACCAATTTATTATTGTCTTTATACAGATGCTTGATGGCACAATGACATAGAATCATGGTTTTGCTAAACATGGTGTATTCAGGGATGTGAGCAGGTTTTCTCAACAACAAAAAGAAGAGGAAAAGTCTAGGGGGGTCTGGGGGCATGCAGCCTTTTGCTTAAAAACGGAGTGTGAGGGATTTATTTTCCTTCCAGGCAGAAGAAATTTTTATCCCGATCACGTGAACCAATCAGATAAATGATAAAAAAGGTATGACAAGAACAGTTATCATGTACATTCTCAACCATGAAATACAAACACAATCTGAATTTAAAGGAATGAAATCCCATACAACATATGACATACCACCATTTTGTCCATTGGGTCCCACTTAGGAGGTTTATCTTCCTCTGGAGATTTTGGTTTCTTCTCCTCATCCTGCGAGGACTGAACCTCTTTTAATGGTTCGAACAGACTCAGAACATCCTCATCAAACTTCTGTTTCTTGCCTGCCGAAGCTTCATCACCTTTGGTGGCTGTTTTCCCTGATTTGGCGACAGCTCCGGTCTGGTCCTCTCCACCGGTGTCCGGCAGCAGCATGTCACACACAAAGTTGATGTGCTCCTTGTGGAGCTTGTCCTCCAGGATCTCCACAACCATGGAGGGAAGCGTGTATTTTAGCTCACCTGCAACCATGGTCACATCCAAAATAATTCCTCGACCCCAGCAACAGAAGTATTCCTAAACAACTGCTCCACAAAAATTCCTAAACTAAAAGGCTTATGGTGTCTGAGCATGTGCATGGAAATCAAGTTGTGAGGGTCACATGTTGCCAGCCTGTGACCTCTTGGTTCATCCTGGGATCACAGAACGTATCACAAAGTTCCTGTTGGGGCCTGCACTTTGTACATGACATTCACCTATTTGGTTGACAATCGAAACCCTAACACTGAGAAATTTACATCACTGTGTTTGTAGGCCTTCAAGCCAAATCAGGTTGTTCGGACTTCTATCCCATTAATGTTAATTAACATATGTGACCAACTATGAGATAAGGGACCTTAAGGGTGAAAAATCTTAGGATCACAAAAATACAATTCACAAGCTGTATTACAGAGATATATGGCATTAAACATTTGGATTCATTTTCATCTAATTTTCAGACTTATGACCGTTCATGTAATCATTGAAGTTTTCAGATATAATGTCTGATTAATTGAAAGAAGATATGTATGCTGAAATGATTTGAAATAATCTTTTTATTACATTACTACCTACTCTGAATCATGGAGACACACAGTCCTTATTGGTCAACTCTTGTGACTAGGGGCACCTGGGACCTACTCTGAATCATGGAGACACACAGTCCTTATAGGTCAACTCTTGTGACAAGGGGCACCCTAGACCTACTCTGAATCATGGAGACACACAGTCCTTATTGGTCAACTCTTGTGACCAGGGGTAATGGGACCTACTCTGAATCATGGAGACACAGTCTTTATTGGTCAACTCTTGTGACCAGGGGCACTTGGGACCTACTCTGAATCATGGAGACACACAGTCCTTATTGGTCAACTCTTGTGACCAGGGGCACTTGGGACCTACTCTGAATCATGGAGACACACAGTCCCTATAGGTCAACTCTTGTGACTGGGGGCACTTGGGACCTACTCTGAATCATGGAGACACACAGTCCTTATTGGTCAACTCTTGTGACCAGGGGCACCTGGGACCTACTCTGAATCATGGAGACACAGTCCTTATTGGTCAACCCTTGTGACCAGGGTCACCTGGGACCTACTGTGAATCATGGAGACACACAGTCCTTATTGGTCAACCCTTGAGACCAGGGACACCTTGGACCTACTCTGAATCATGGAGACACACAGTCCTTATTGGTCAACCCTTGTGACTAGGGGCACCTCTGACCTACTCAGAATTATGGAGACACAGTCCTTATTGGTATACTCTTGTGACCAGGGACACACTAGATCTACTCTGAATCATGGAGACACACAGTCCTTATTGGTCAACCCTTGTGACAAGGGGCACTTGGGACCTAGTGTGAATCATGGAGACACAGTCCTTATTGGTCAACTCTTGTGACCAGGGGCACACCTTGGACCTACTCTGAATCATGGAGACACACAGTCCCTATTGGTCAACTCTTGTGACCAGGGTCACCCTAGACCTACTCTGAATCATGGAGACACACAGTCCTTATTGGTCAACTCTTGTGACCAGGGACACCTTGGACCTACTGTGAATCATGGAGACACACAGTCCTTATTGGTCAACTCTTGTGACCAGGGTCACCCTAGACCTACTCTGAATCATGGTGAGACACAGTCCTTATTGGTCAACTCTTGTGAACAGGGTCACCTGGGACCTACTCTGAATCATGGTGAGACACAGTCCTTATTGGTCAACTCTTGTGACCAGGGGCACCCTAGACCTACTCTGAATCATGGGGAATACACAGTCCCTATAGGTCAACTCTTGTGACCAGGGGCACCTGGGACCTACTCTGAATCATGGAGACACACAGTCCTTATTGGTCAACTCTTGTGACCAGGGGCACCCTAGACCTACTCTGAATCATGGTGAGACACAGTCCTTATTGGTCAACTCTTGTGACCAGGGGCACCTGGGACCTACTCTGAATCATGGTGAGACACAGTCCTTATTGGTCAACTCTTGTGACCAGGGGCACCCTAGACCTACTCTGAATCATGGTGAGACACAGTCCTTATTGGTCAACTCTTGTGACCAGGGGCACCTGGGACCTACTCTGAATCATGGTGAGACACAGTCCTTATTGGTCAACCCTTGTGACCAGGGTCACCCTAGACCTACTCTGAATCATGGAGAGACACAGTCCCTATAGGTCAACTCTTGTGACCAGGGGCACCTGGGACCTACTCTGAATCATGGAGACACACAGTCCTTATTGGTCAACTCTTGTGACTAGGGGCACCCTAGACCTACTCTGAATCATGGAGACACACAGTCCTTATTGGTCAACCCTTGTGACCAGGGGCACTTGGGACCTACTCTGAATCATTGAGACACACAGTCCTTATAGGTCAACTCTTGTGACCAGGGGCACTTGGGACCTACTCTGAATCATGGAGAGACACAGTCCTTATTGATCAACTCTTGTGACCAGGGACACCCTAGAACTACTCTGAATCATGGAGAGACACAGTCTTTATTGGTCAACCCTTGTGACCAGGGGCACCTGGGACCTACTGTGAATCATATCAAGCAGAGTTTCCCCAAGTACCAGGAAGAAATATCCAACCATGACCATTGAGATGAAAGAAAAACAAACATCAGCTATCAACATCTGACAGCACAGTATCTGATAAGCCTGAAAATCACACAAGGAAAATGTTTCCATTGATTCACAAAGACTCAAGACTTGGTTATCTACTGGAAAATGTTTTCCTTCAACATGCTGATTAGTGATACTAAGCCTTGTTTAGCATTTGTTTAGAGCATGTAGAGAAGGCTCTCTTCACCATGTTAACCGAGATTCAACAGATTGAACTGAATCTTGCTACCATATTGTAGAAATTCATCACTGAATACATGGAATAGTCATGCTAATAAATTACATTGCCTATATAAACTCTGTGCCCCTCTTTTCCTAAACACTTGTTGCATAAACATGTTCCTATGGACAAATAACTGGCATATTTCTCACTAGACTAACATAAGTCTCTGAAATATATTTTTGGGGACATCACATCATGATGATAGTGAGTGAGTGAGTATGGCACTTAGCATGTAACAGCAATATCACGGCGAGGACACCAGAAATGGGCTTCACCCATTGTACCGATGTTGGGAATCGAACCCAGGTCTTCGGCAAGACAAGCAAACGCTTTAACCACTAGGCTATCCCACCGCCCCTATACCCATGATATCATGTATCAAAGAAAGGAACTTTCTATTTAAACTGCTAAAGTATTGTAAACCAGTAGACATGCTTGGGCATTTCTTTCCCTTTTGTTTACATTGGTTGTTGTATGAGAGGATCAATTTCCCTACATTCCCAAAATAAATGGCATACTTCCTGACCTGGAATACTGTCAGTCAGTAAACAAAATCACCTGCCACGAAGTCAATAATTATTATCCTCATCCTGACCCTTATAAGGACATACTAAGGGGGAAGTAACTGTGTCACAACCCACCCCCACCCACACCCCCATCCAACGTGTGTCAGACTTACTCATGGGGAAGTAACTGTCACCCCAACCCCCATCCAACGTGTGTCAGACTTACTCAATGGGAAGTAACTGTCACCCCCACCCACACCCCCATTCAACGTGTGTCAGACTTACTCATGGGGAAGTAACTGTCACCCCCACCCCCATCCAACGTGTGTCAGGCTTACTCATGGGGAAGTAACTGTCATCCCCACCCCCATCCAACGTGTGTCAGACTTACTCATGGGGTAATAACTATCACCCCCACCCCCACCCCCACCCCCACCCAACGTAAGTCATACTTACTCATGGGGAAGTAACTGTCACCCCCACCCCCATCCAACGTGTGTCAGACTTACTCATGGGGAAGTAACTGTCACCATGGTCACCCCTACCCCCATCCAACATGTTTCAGGCTTACTCGTGGGGAAGTAACTGTCACCCCCACCCCCATCCAACGTGTGTCAGGCTTACTATGGGGAAGTAACTGTCACCCAGAGCCCCACCCCCACCCAACGTAAGTCATACTTACTCCGGAGGTAGTAACTGTCACCCCCACCCCCATCGAACGTGTTTCAGACTTACTCATTGGGTAGTAACTGTCACCCCCACCCCCACCCAAAGTGTGTACTCCGGAGGTAGTAACTGTCACCCCCACCCCCATCGAACGTGTTTCAGACTTACTCATTGGGTAGTAACTGTCACCCCCACCCCCACCCAAAGTGTGTCAGACTTACTCATGGGGTAGTAACTGCCACAGCTCACCATGATACACTTCAGCGAACCCTGAAACACAAGCACATCATTTATCAAGTCTCTATTATTTCACTCACTATCAGTCATTTTCACTTCTGCTCTTCTATCTACCATGTCAACTGACTATGCTTGGTGTAAGAGGCTATTAACGGGATTGGGTGGTCAGGCTCACTGACTTGGTTGATGCATGTCATCGATCCCAATTGTGTGGATCGATGCTCATGATATCAATCACTGGATTGTCTGGTCCAGACTTGATTATTTACAGACCGCCATCATAGAGCTGGAATATTGCTTAGTGCGGCATAAAACAACAAGCAAACAAACAAACAAAAGATTACATCACTTCTGAAATTTATGGTGGCAAATGGGTCCAGGGTATTAATCATAATAAACTGGATAATCAACGATGCAGTCTTAAATCATGTGTAAATGGAGATATAATTGTGGATGGTCTGTGACCAACTCACCTGTCTGTGATGGACTCACCTGTTTGTCTGTAAGAATAAGTTTAACCTGGTCCTCAAGGCAGGTGGAGCAGGCTGGATGACCCTGAGTACACCGTGACACTTTCAGGTCATGCAGGATGCTCTTACAGTTCACACATGCATCATCAGACTTGGACGACGACGATGACGACACCGGCGACATCACAGTATCCGGTCGCACCCGTTTTCTCGGAGGGAGACTAAGCTGGGACAACCTGGATGCCCCTGTCGTCCACGACTGAGTGTTTCCTGATCGTAACCCAGCTCCAGAAGCAAGAACAGAACTGGAACCTAAACTGGAATCTGAATTCAAGTTTGAACCAGCAGCAGCTTCAGAAGCTAATCCTGAACTGGAACTCAAATCTGTCCTTGAGGTTGATGGACCCGCAGAGCTTTGAACAGTAGACACACATGTTGGTTTGGGCAAAATTGTGACTTTTGAGACTGGAGAAGTTGGTGAGGTTGTGATGTTCAAAGATTTATCTAAGGACAGAGTTGTATGTACAAGGTCTGAAAACTGACACACTGAGCTTGTAGAAGAACTGGTTCTAGGCAACGTATCCTGACTAGAGGAATATCTGTGGCATGTGGTTGTTCCCGATCGCAGGAGAGATTTTGAAGTTGGTGATATCATTGAGCTTGTTCCAATGCACGGGAGTTGCTTACTATTAGCTGAAAGACTTGTGGGCGAGGAAGAAAGTGTGGTATCACAGCTGTTGGAGTGAATATGTGTGGGCACTGCACCGACTGGCTGGCTGGGGACTGATATAGAGGGCGGTGACGGTGTCCCTAAAGACATGCATGACTGATTGTCTGTTGACTGGGATGAAGGGTAGTCATATTTCCGCAACAGTTCCAGAAAGTTCAGATCATCAATGCATGGTGACCCTGCCTTCCCTTGGGGCAGGACCAGGTCTGGAGGCCCACCAACTCCACTGTTTGTTTTCACACCTGATGTTGATGGTTGGGGGCTCCATTTTAACGGCGGTGTTGCTGGCAAGGAGACTGATGAGTTGCTGCTGCTGTTGCTGTCAACGGAGGGAGAACCTGGTCCAACAAAGGAATTGTCTAGGCTGGACCCACCAACACTGTCCAAAAGGTCATCTGTGGTTAAACTCTGCTGAGAATCTGTCTCCTCCAAATCAACTAATGTTTCTTTATCAGACAGCTTGACACTTGTGGCTGCAGCAGTGGTGGGATCCACGACATCGTCGCCATCCCGCTCTGTATGTTTCGACAAGTCCAATGGACCTGTCAAATTAAGGGATACATCAAATGAAGATGTAAGACTGAGGCTTCGGGTTAAGTCTTTGGAAGAGGATGGTTCTGTTTTTGGTCCCAGGGTTGTATTGTCTTTACTTTTAGTGATGCTTGTGGATGCGATGAAGATGACGGCATCATCATCGTCGTCATCATCATCTGCTGGAATTGGCACCTTTTCTTCCTTCAGCACAACTATATCATCATCATCTTCATCTTCTTCTGCAAACAGACATGACACGATTAGAAACATATTCACAGTAAAACTTTACCACTGAAATACAGTAACCTTTTAAATTGAAAGTTAAATGAATGAGTTACAGTACTTCATAAGTCAAGGCTAGTCAAGCCTGTACATTTACAACCTTGATGAAACCAATGAGCAGATTTCATGCTGACACCCTGGATCCTGGCACAGCTAAGGACGATAACTCTGTACAACAATCTGTGCCACCTTTGGGCAAGATGCTGACCCACAAAGGATCACAATCTGGGTGATAATGGGGTTTAACGTTGCATTTAAGATTATCGCAATTACATTGTGATGTGTGTGCATGTCTGAGCAGACCAGTTCTTGTTTTATCCCCATAATGCCAAGCACCAGGCAGGGTAACAACAAGTTTCCATCTTCTAACGTATGATGCAGCTGGGGATCAAACCTATGACCTTCCGCTCACCAGACGTTCTATCCACTACACCATGGATGTTTTGTTTGTTCGCTGTTTAACGCCGCTCTCAGCAATAATCCAGCTATATAATAGTAGTCTGTAAATCGAATCTGGACCAGACAATGCAGTGATTGATATCATGAGCACTGATCTACACAATTGGGATACGATGATATGCATCAACCAAGTCAGCGAGTCTGACCACCCGATCCCTTTAGTTGCCTCTTATGACAAGCATAGTGGATGGATGTGGTAAAAAAATCTGTACTAATCTGATCATGCTAATGACAAGTCACATTAGTACAAGCTTTACCTATGAGTGAGTGAGTGAGTGAGTTGTATTTCACACCGCTTAAACAGTATTCCAGTTATATCACAGGGTGACAGCTTAATGTGGGGGCAAAGCCTGAAGCAGACATTTACCAATTCGGTGAAACCCACAAGCTAATGGTTTGGTCTGAATAAACATTTGAAAAACAAAGCTGTATCAAAATAGTTCAGAAATAATGTTACTATGGTTACTGTATAACATGATTAACATGACCAATTTCTTGATGGACTCAACAACACAAGATATCTCGATCATGTTGATATACAAATTAAATACATTGTTTGCAGAATTAGCGAGTGAGTGAGTTTGGTTTTACGCCCCTTTTAGCAACACTCGAGCAATATCACGGCGGGGGACACCAGAAATGGGCTTCACACATTGTACCTATGTCGGGAATCGAACCCAGGTCTTCGGCGTGACAAGTGAACGCTTTAACCACTAGACCACCCCGTTTGCAGAATTAAATCTTCAGAATGGTACTAGATAAATAATAAAATCTCACCCTTGTATTGTTTGATATCAAATATAACAACTCATTCATAAAAGCAGAAAATATCATTTCAAGCGTCAATCAACTTTGTTGACATATTTGAAATAATAAGACACTCTGGCAAAATGCTCTAGATTTTGTACAATATGTTGCAGAAGATAGCATCACCTAACTCTGTGTGTTACAAATCCTGCTGAAAGTCAAACTTATAAAAAAATATAAAACATTAATTTTGATAAGGACTAGAATGCAGTTAAATCCTACAAACACAACAAAAAGATGGGCTGTTACCATAGCAACTGACAAATACCTAGTTAAACATACCATAAAATAGAATCTGGATAACACAAAAAGCTCTATCCTGCTGCATATCAGTTTGCATGGGAAATAGCATGTTCACATTAGACATGCCAGCATCTCCTCAGTGTCTCCACTCATATTCCCCAGGTAAGGCATCACGTTACACATTTAACCCAAGATGCGGGGAACCAAAAGCCAATAGTTATTCAACCCCAAACTGGCATACATACTTTAAAACATGATTACCGGTACTTTAAAATTCAAGTTAACATTTCTTCACAGCAGGAATCTTCAGTCTCTTTTGAAGCTTTTCGGTTCTCTTGGGTTTTAGAATATTTATAGGTATTTCATCTTTCAGCATTATTCAGTGGTTTGTGTACATTAACCATGGCAACTGTTCTGAACAATCTCATTAAAATCCAATATTTTACTGTGATACAATACATATCTGCAAGAAGATCTGAAGACACCTCATTAGAAGTGAACTTGAGCAAACACTAACTGCCCCATTTCAGTGAAGGAGGAGTGGGTTCTTGAGCGTCTGATTTCTATTATTTCCATAATATTTCCTTACATTTCTTTAATGTTTCCTTAAATTCAGAATTTTCAATATTACTAAAAGATAACCTCCTCCTACATAAATATATCCTTTTTGCTGTAGATGCCATTGCGCTCAGGAACAATAGGACTATAAAATATATACAACATAATATAAGCACAGCTTCATATTTTTGCAATCAGAAATCCCCGAATATATTTTTGTTTGTTTGTTGTTTAATCATGTTAATGCTTCACTCAGCAATATGACGGCGGTCTGTAAATAATCATGTCTGGTCCAGACAATCCAGTGATTGACATCATGAGCATTGATCTTCGCAATTGGGATACGATGACATGCATCAACCAAGTCAGCAAGTCTGACCACCCGATCCTTTAAGTCGCTTCTTACGACAAGCATAGTTGCTGTTTATGGCAAGCATGGGTTGCTGAAGACCTATTCTAACCCGGATCTTCACGGGTCTGTCCTGAAAGGATAGAATGAAGTCTGAAGTGAGCATCAGCATTACTTCTGAGATACCACAGTATTAATACCATGTGTGGCAAAGCAGATGGAAAGTGTGTACTCTCCCTCGGCATGCTCAGGAGTGAGTGAGTGAGCTCAGTTAGCCCCAGTTATGAACAGTCATTCACAAACATGAACTTACATCACAGCATGTCAAAAGCTCAATATGGTCGTCATTGAAAATCTGAACCACTTTAAAGCGTAACCAACAAGCATGGGGCACAATGGGATCTAAATCCACAACATGCAGATCCTGGTGCAACCAAGGGAAGCAGCTCTGCACGGCCTGTCACAGACCCCTAGATCACTGGACAACTGATCCCTTTGGGATTATCACATTGTCACATTAAATACATAGCACAGCCAAACCAAACGCTGCTGGGTATATAACTGTTTAGTTCTTTTATGAACAGTAGAGGGGCACGGTACCACTGGTGTACCATGTTACAAAATACTGATGACAATATGTTTAGGAAATACCGGAACACTGCGTTTTTCAAAATCAGGCATGTTTTCATCGTGTTGGCAAAGTTAACATAAGTAACACGTCAAATTGAAATTATGATATTCAGAAATAAGCTTGTGCTTGTAGAAGCGAAACTATTCAAGTCAATCTTCCTGTATACAGTACAAAATGTGTTTTTACAAATGTTTTGCGTCCATTACAACATGTAACAAAATGGGACCTGTGAAGATTCAGGGTAGAATAGGTTTTCAGCAACCCATGCTTGTCGTAAGAGGCGACTATGCTTATCGTAAGATGCGACTAACATGATTGTGTGGTCAGGCTTGCTGACTTTGTTGATGCATGTCATTGTATCCCAATTGCGTGGATTGATGCTTATGATGTCAATCACTGGATTGCCTGGTCCAGACTTGATTATTTACAAACCGCCTTCATATAACTGGAATATTGCTGAGTGTGGCGTTAAACAATAAACAAATCTAACAAAATGGTGGACGATAACAAAGTTGTCAAAAAAGCGCAGGGGAAGGTGTGTTTTTATATTCAGGTCCATAACAAACTACAGATGAAAGAACACATGCAATATATTGTGGTTTGTATCACAATACAAGAATCATTAGTGCAATAAATTTCGTAATGAAAGTCAGGCCAATACCCAGTGCTAATGAACAGGATCATGATTGATGACATCACATGCTGTCAGTGAACTAAATCATTCACAAACTAATTAGTCCTCCGTCTCCACCAGATTTCATCAGCAGGATTAACTACCTGCAGCTTCATCAATGTCTGAATACGACCTCCATAATACTGGACACTCTTGGTGCTGTTGCATAAAAGATTGTCTTCCTGAATATCGATCAGTGCAATTGGTGAGGTATATCCTGGTTATCCACCCCTGGACACAATATATCTACATTGTTTAACAAGTCTAAAATATGAGTTTTCTATACTAGCCCACCCAGTTCCTGTTTCACTGGTCATGTCCATAGTGGTGCCAGCTGCATATGGCTAATCCCGGTCCTGTAAATATAGCCCTAGGTCATAGGCTCAGCTGTTTCTATAATTATAGGAAAGCAATGCAAGGGATATGCACTGTGTAGGGAATCCTGAAGTGGTTATTGTGTTGGGAGCAAAGGCTGACACACATTTGTCACAAGCTTCACTGTGCATTAGCTTCCAATGAAATCAGCAGATGCATCATTATCATCTAGGGTTATACCTAAACCTCTAACCCCCATCCTTTAACACCCAAACTCTGACCCCTTAATGTTGAATAGTCTGAAATGATTCTAAAAATGTATCTTGTAACGAAATATTGGGATTTACCAGACACAAAAAACACTCCACTGGGATGCAGAAAATGTATGTGCATGTTTAGTAATGAATGCTCTTTCGTTTTGTTTTTGTTTGTTTGTTTGTTGTTTAACGCCGCTCTCAGCAGCGAGTCTGGACAAGATAATCCAGTGGTTGACATCATGAGCATAGATCCACACAACTGGGATACGATGACATGCATCAACCAAGTCAGCAAGCCTGACCACCTGATCCCATCAGTCACCTCTTACGACAAGGATAGTCACCTGTTACGGCAAACATGGGTTGCTGAAGACCTCTTATCTACCCGGATCTTCACAGGTGCGGACAACTACAACCTTTGAGTCGCCAGGTAAACCCCTGATATACATGATATATCTTTCCATAAATTCTCTTCATTATATTAACTATCTTCAAACATTGTCAAACTGGTACGACTCTTCCTTTTCCATTTTTCATGCATTGATCATGGTTGGCATCCAATAACATTCAACATTCAACATTCAACATTCAAGATCAATATTGTACAGGGAGAAAATAGCTCACGTTATTTTGAACAAAGCATGAATAAACTACTATATCATTAC